GCAGCCTAGACTATAGTAATTAACAATGTTTAGCTATCATTTCCCCAGTATAGACCATTTTAAAGACTGCTCCAGACAAGCTTTCACGAGATCACTTGCTTAGTATAATGAACAAGAAGAACCAATTCTGCTCATCCCTACTGCCACATCCTGACTCTTGGTCATCTCAGCAGGCTTTAACTGGTTCAGAACTGTCTCGCTTGTGGTCCTATGCCAGTGACCTAACAGCTGTGGCTTCTATAAGCATGCAATTTTGGCTTCCTTTGCTTGCCTTTGATCTTCCCTTTCATGTTTAAAGAAAAGCTCTCTTCGTTCCTTCAGACCCAGCGTTACCTGGATCTGGACAGGATCTCTACCTCCCAAGGTTGCTACTTGGATATTTCGTCATGCCATCTTCTTTCTCTTGTGTTGCCAAAAGGGATTCGCTTTGGAGGGCCTGAGCTTTATGGAGATTACTGGAGGATTTCTACTTGTCTTCTTTACACTGAGGACACAAAGGTTTACTCAGTAGAATTATAAGGGTCTGTGACTTAGTGGTGAGAGTAAAGTCATTCCTTGCATTGACAAGTCCCTACATAGGTAACGTTGGGTATCTATAAGTGACCATCATTCCAGACATTGAAAAAGCACCAATAGGAGAGAATATTTGTAGAAGTTCAAAGTTGGACTTTGGAGTCCTTGGTGCTTTCTGAACTTGGCTATTTCCTTGCAGATGTTTCGTTATCCAGCTAGGTAACATCCTCAGTGCTGGTCAAGTGTGGGGATTAATAACAACCAAACGATCAAGCAGAAAATAAACCTAATCGAGGAACTACCAAGCCGAAAACCACACTTCCACCCACATTGGCAGGGCAATCTACTGTATATAAACAGAGAGCAAACCCCACTCCTACCACTGATGATGTTACCTAGTCAGGTAATGAATGTCTGCAAGCAAACAACCAAGCTCAGATAGGACCAAGGACTTCACCAGGAAAGCAGTTTAAGTGGAGTTCCCAGATGTTCAGATACCTGTCCTCAGAGGTGTGCAAAATGGTCATTGCCAAAGCATTTCTTGTGCAAACCTTGGTGCACACCCAACAAGTTTGCAAAGGAACATCCTACCTGCCTTACCTGATATTTTCATATCTGTCTCGCTTTTTCGTTACAATCATACAAATCGGCCATGACATGCCAAGACTGTAGGACTGCCTGATAATTCTGCATTTCAAAGTGCTCTGTTACATCAGCTCCAATAATAACCTGACATAGATTCAACAAAAATGCTTAACACAAGGAAGAAAAAAAAATGGGACTACTGTTAAAAATAGAAGTTACACTTAGAAATTCTGAGCAAATTTACAAGCAGTTTAGATGTAAGACTTGCATCTAAGACAAAGAGGAAAGGGAATAACGTACAACTTTATTCAACAAGCCATCATGTTATCAAGATACTGGAAAGCAGCAAAATGTATATTTAACTATCCTTAAAGGAAACCAAGCCACGTCTTTTAAAACCAACGAATAATTAACCGTCAACATTTCCTTTTATGTTGCAAAAATTGAGGATTATAGGCACAAGCCCTGCGGTATGTTCAGAATGGATCACCCACAAAAGCTGTTTGTCATAAACAGTTGTATTAACTATAACAAACCATTACATTTTGGCTTGAACAAAAAAAGACAAGCTAAAATTTGCAGTCAACCAGTTAACAGTCTGCTTTGAGAAAAAAAAAAAGGCATAATCCAACTCTATATTTGTGGCAGGAAGGCGAAAACCACACAAACTGGGATGGTAGATGTTTTGCACATTTTGCAGAATGCTGGGCATTCCGAAGGTCGGTCCTGAAAGAGATCAAACATCTGACAGAGGTCCAGGATGCAACACCATGCCTCATTTCTTGGAAGTTAGAAGCAATTAGTTCAACTGGCTATTAAGTAGTAGCGGTTAACTTCAATCACAGATTGGATCATGCAGAAAAATCAAACGAAATAAAAAAAAGGACAAGAACATCAAGCAGCAGTAAGCAATAGTATAAACTAAATGTGCTTTGTTCTAATAAATTATAACGATAACTTATAATATGTCAAAGAGCTTTAAGGTAGTGATGCTAATAGAGTAGACTAGTGTTTCTCAAAGTTGGCAACTTTAAGATGTTGGCAACTTTAAGCTGGCTGGGGAATTCTAGGAGTTGAAGTCCACCCATTGAGAAACATTGCAGTGGACTATCAATTTAAGAATGATGAAAGTGAACGAGCGTCCGTTAAATAGAATGCTCATAAAATAAGATTTTGTATCTATTTAAGTTTAATTATTTTACACATGTGCAAAATAAGAATGGGATTTTATACAAGTTTACCTGTTACACTTGCCTGCTAAGTTATAAAGTTCTCTTTCTTTTTCTACTCACACCTGTTCAAAGGTGTGCTGAGTTTTTATTAGATCTCCGTGTGATTTTACTAACAGGCGGTTTCATTCTGATTTGTACAGTGTATGATTTGCAACGAGATGCTTTCACTATGAAAACTGCAAATTTTTCAACCACAAAGCTTACTGTAATTAGTTTAAGCTTTTACTCCTATTTACAACTTAACTGAAGTTACCTAACTCTAAGCCAACAATTTCGAATAGATTTACACTGATAAAGTTATGTATGTTAAAAATGTAAAACCCCCCAGTTTCCCACAAGCATTTTAGAAAAAAAAAACTCAACAACAAAAGTAAAAAACACACTTCCAAATGAGCAATACAATTTTTTATTTTTGCCACAGAAAATAACATTTTTTAACATATATACACTAGCTTCAAGACCGCTATTTTTAAAGAATGAACGTAAGCCCACTTGCAAAGGGAATGTCATTCTTACTAATACGTTAACACTTTAAAAAAAAGTTATTTTAAACTGCAGTCGTGCATGAAACCCAGATAACTCTACCTTCCTGCTTGCTCATGAAAAAAATCCTGGTTCAGTGTGAAATGCTCTCTTTGAGATCCACTTAAATTCCAGTCCGCTTGAATCCAAAAGAAATATATTCATTTAGAAATGGTAGAGATGGTCCCCGGCTTATGACGGCAATCAAGACTAGAATTGCCACCACTAAGCGAGTCTTAACGTGCAATGTCCTGTGACCACATTGCTTAGTGACAACAATCGCAGCAGTCTTGGTTGCATCATAACCCCAAGATACTCTGGTTATTAAGGGAGAAGTGGCAGGGGTCCCAGGTAAGCGACACAGGGGAGCCGTGGAAGGATGGAGGAGGCCCTGTGCAGGTTGCAGGTGGCTTAGGAGAGGCTGGGGAAGCCCAGACCAGCACTGTGCAACTGCTGAAAGGCCATAGGGCGATGGGCATGGTGCCACACAAACACAGATAGGATACGAAGTGGACAGCAGAGTACGAACACAGAAGTCATAAAAGGGCCAAGTTTGAAGGCCCCTGGGATATAACTTCTAGTCTCCAATTAACATGCTTTCATGCTATTGTGGCAGGTTAAAAATTGAATGGGAGGGAGGGAGGGATGGTTAAGCAAACCAGCGAGATATAAATGTCATCTGATTTTGAAGCATTTGTGCAAACCTGATGAATATCTTATCGATGTGTCCATATTCTGATCTTATCTCGTGCTAGCAATTGTGAAAAGGGAAGTTCTTTCCAGTTCATGTAGTTTACGTGATCAAAATTCAGGTGCTTGGCAACTGGCATGTATTTAAAATATATTTGTACGTTACAAACACATGCAGTATCCCAGGAGTCGCGTGATAGTTATGTGTGACCTTCCCAGCCAGCTTCCAACAAGTCACGTCAATGGGAGAAGCCAGATTCGCTTACCGAACGCATGATTCATTTAACAACTGTGGCAAAAAAAGGACATAAAATTGGGCATGGCTCCCTTAAAAATCGCCTTGCTTAACAACGGAAATTCTGCTCTCAACTGAGATCATAAGTCAAGGACTACCTAATAACATCTATTGCCTTCTTCTCATCTTTTCCAAGAACACTTGCAAGAAGGAGGGGACAAACGCGTCATCAGTCTCGAGTCCCTTCGCGCCCACTAGAGAATTAAGTCCAGCCCACCTTGAATTCCTTTGATTCTTATCTCCCACCAATTTGCTTTGATCGTTAGTCATTCAGATTCTTGTGAAGAACTTAAGCTTGCAATAAATCTTTATATTCATTTGAACTGCCTGGGTTTTCTTTGATTGATTGATAGATAGATAGATAGATAGATAGATAGATAGATAGATAGATAGATAGATAGATAGATATAGATATGTTTTTTTCAAAATTTGGATTGCTAACAAAGAATTAAGGGAGTACTGGGATAGCTATTTCAGACCTTATTAGGTTTTCATCAGCCAGACATACCCTTCTGAGATTCGAACCTGGGCTGTCTGCATGTTAAGCAGAAGTGTTAGCCCCTAGGCCACAGGCTCTTTCTCACTTTGTTAGCTAAAAGAGACAGGGGAAGAAGATGAATGCTTTTTGAACATATAGATATAGAGATATAGATAGATAGATAGATAGATAGATAGATAGATAGAGAGAGAGAGAGAGAGAGAGAGAGAGAGAGAGAGTTTTATTGAGTTTTATAGGGTTAGGGAGGGGGTGGGGTAGGTATGGGAGTTGGGATTCAGGTTAGGGGACAGGGTTGGGTTTACAACAGGGATGGGGATGGGGACAACAATGGGGTTACCCCCCATTAACATTTTCAAGCTTTAGCAAACAGACTATTGTCCAGGTACATATAGTCAATAACAATAATATAGTAGTGAATAGCTATAGTGAATATAAAAAGCAATAGTCATGAACAATATCAGTTAATCAATACATATCCTTCATCTTAGTAAAATATATTCACCATTAAATAACCATTAAATAACGCAATCATTTCTCAGTATTTTGTTTTACTAACTATTGATAAAAATTAGGAACTGCTTGGGTTTTTTTATTTCCCCGCCGCCTGACAGGATCAATTCCAATTATACTAAGAGGGATGCCGTGAAGCAGATAGGATACTCACAAAATCCTTCTATCTTGTCCGCCGTTTTGCTCCAAGCCACCTGCCTGGTTTCCATAATGACCTGAATGGTTCTTCTCTCCGGGTTACTTTTCTTGAGGCTGTATACGGTCATCACCGTCCCCAGCTCCAAAGTCCTTTTGATCTGACTCTTCTCATACTCCGGGAGCTGTCCATACTCAATACTTCGGCCGGACATTTTCAGCTTGAAGAGAGCAGGTCTTCAGAAGGCTGGAAGGGAAGCAGGGAGGGAGAGAGATGTATTATTTTAAACCTGGCCCTTCTTGTGTTACAAATGATTCTGCTGCAGTTTCCGCTTAAAGACAAAAAAAATTTCAAGAAGTGAAACTGGGTTCGCATGAACCAATAGCTTCTGAGGTCAAGGTACGTGGGTCTCCACTCCAACACCTTGCTGTTATATAAACAGAAGTGAGCAAACGACTAGCTAACATAAAACAATTCTAATGCTGGCTAACAATGCCTAGGGTGAAACAGAAGAAGCCTGGATATTGACAACAAGCTGAAAGTGAGCCAGTAGTGTGATAGAGCTGCTAAAAGAGCCAACACAATCTAAAAATAAATCTGAAGAAGCACTGTTATCAAAAACAAAGTTCTTATTCTCCTCTACTATGTGCTGGTGTGTGTGTGTGTGTTATGATTCAGTGGTTAAAGATGCCCGAGCTTATAAGCTGGCAGCCCAGGTTCAAGACTGGAGCGCTGCGCAATGAGGTGAGCTCCCGTTACTGCACATCTAGCAGTTCAAAAGCACGCAAAATGCGAGTAGATAAATAGGTACCACTTCGGTGGGAAGGTAACAGCATTCCATGCGCCACGGCGTACAATCATGCTGGCCACATGACTATGGAAGTGTCTTTGAACAATGCTGGCTCCCTCAACTAAGAAACAGAGATGAACACCACCCCTTAAAACTGGACCTGACTGGACAGTGGAAACCTTTACCTTTACTTTTGTGCTGATGAGCACAAAAATTGTGTTTTATTCTGATTCTTCCTTTCCAGAAGGATACACTGACGCAGTAGAACAGGGTCAGAACAGGCCAACAAAAATGATTCTGAGATTTTAGACATGCACTACGAGGACTTGTTCAATCTGAGAGAAGATTTGGGGTGGTAGGGAAGACATAGTATTAATGTTACAATTTGAAAAAGCACACCATCACTCTTATTCTAGACCAGAAGCGTCTCACCATGGCAGCTTCAAGACCTGTGGACTTCAACTCCCAAAAATCCCCATAGGTCATGGCTGACTGGGGAATTTTGGAAGTTGAAGTCCCACAGGTCTTAAAGCTGCCAAGGTTGGACACCTCAGATCTAGAGTTAAGGGTGATGGTGTGCTTTTTCAAAATGTAATACCAGATTTGGTACAACGATATCAAGTTTGGCTCTTCCCCCTTGCAGAATGATGAGTAGGCTTAACCGTTAGAATCAATGAAGATACCGTTTCCTAAAATGCAACAGATCTCTTACAACTTACAAGAGGTCTTCTAGCCAGCTTGGAGCAGATGTCTGGGCAAAAAATATGTTTTGGCCCCAAATTCACTGCCCTAAAATGGGCCATAGCCTATGCTTGGTTACTTCCATCTACTCTTCAACTACTTGTATTCTATCCATTCTCTCGAAACTTGTAGCCCCATTTCTTCAGAAAATCAAGAAGTTAGCTGTATACTCTACTGTGGCTTGGAAGAGAATATTCAGCCTCGGAGAGTATATTTTATCATTCCATTTCCTTATTTCCAGGCACCAACAAGACTACCGTCTATCTTAGCCAGAAGTCCTTCATTCAAGTTCAACAGATTCCAAGAATGCAAGAAGTCCCTCAACCCAGCAGGGCTCTGAATAAAACCCAAACCAACAGTATGTGGAGACCACAAAAAAAAAAAAAAAACACCAATCAAGGGTATGCCCAGCAATATGAGTCAGACTAAATAAAAATTTGAGACAGACAGACCCAGGGTTGTCATAGAAGCCGATAAAACTTGAGCCATCACAGACAAATCAACCTCAGCAAAAATTCAGAGATCTCACAAGTCACAGCATGGATCTGCAAGATTATAGGTTGCATTTTTTTCTGGAAGGACAAAACTGATGTGATGCCAGACGTGAAAGACAGGGTCCACCCGTGAAGGTCCAATTTAAAGGTCCAATTAGTGGAAACTAATCAAGGAGAGAAGCAATCTAGAACTAAGGAGAAACTTCCTGACAGTGAGAACAATTAACCAGTGGAACAACCTGCCTCCAGAAGTGGTGAATGCTCCAACACTGGATGTTTTTAAGAAGAGACTGGACAGCCATTTGTCCGAAATGGTATAGGGTTTCCTGCCTGAGCAGGGGGTTGGACTAGATGACCTTCAAGGTCCCTTCCAACTTTACTATTATTATTATTATTATTATTATTATTATTATTATTAAATTGATTTGTTGCTACTTATGCCCATGCCCAGGACTTTTCTCAACTAACAGTTAGTTAGCATCTGTTTGGAGTTAGATAAGGGTCCAGGAAATTCAAGGGACTATGTAAGGATTCTAGACTGATCCCTCTTTTAACTCCTCCCCCAGGTTCTGCCCCTCCTTCTCCTACATGTGGATGGTTACAACTTGAACTATACTTTCTATGTTAACAAGTTTTGTGAAGTACACAAAACATTATTTTGTTACTTTTGTTTTGAGACAAAAAAAGAAACATGGAATGTTACATGGTTTATAAACAATTTTCGCAGAACTAATACACAAAGTCAATGAACGTTCTACAGTACCCAGACTGCTCTATAAATTCTAGACTTTATCTATATTCAACCTGATATAGGTTTGAATAAGTTCCTTTTTAAAAAAAAATCATTAGTTTTGCCCAACTTATCAGGAAACCAAATACATGATAAATAGCTATATCTACAGATTACTGAAATACTTATAATGTGAAGATTGCCAGAATATTAATGCAGCTTATTCCATTCCTTCAGTTAATCATTGCCTTACACAGACATTCCTCTTTTAATAATCTTAATAAAGTTTGCAAGGGAAATGTACTTAACTTATCAAGATAAGAGGAATAGTTAGGAAAAGAAAATGTATCAAACTTTTACAAGTTCTGCTTTCTGCATCTCCAGCAGCCTTTAAAATATCAGCAAAGTCCAAATTAAATCTGAGAACAGAGAAAATAAATCTATCTTCATTTAATTTTCAGAAATAGCAATGGGAGAGCAAGGTAGTACTTAATATTTCCTTTTACCTGTCTCGATCCAACAAAATCTCTACCTCGTCCTTGCTGATTAGTAATGTATATACATTTTTAAACTGAAAAAAAAATGGTACCTCAAGATAATGACTGCAATTTTTTAAAAGTACATAGAAAGAGTTAATATCCTGATGATGAACATGTAGTTGCTAAAAATGTATAAACTTTTGTTGAAATGTGAAACAGAGGAAGAACAGGTTAAAGAATGCATGATAAATTAGGCTAAGAATTTTGGTTATAATCTACAGATGGGTCAATGGGGAAATATGTGGCTAGAAGGGCTGAAATTTACATTGTGTTATGATCTTCAAGACAATTTCTACAAAATAATGTTTCATTGTTTTTTATGCTAGAGGGACCATCTAGAATGTATAAGGGCACTCCAAATATATGTTGCAATTGTACATTTTATCATGCTTGGCAGACATGTAAAAAGTTTTTAAAAATGGATTCAAATACATACTTTGATACAGAGGATTATAAATATTCATATTCAATTCAATCTGGAACTTTTCCTTTTAGGACTGATGGAAATACAATTAAAAAAAGCCACTGAAGATTATTTCAATATCTGATTACTGCAGCAAGATTATTAAATGTACAGAGTTAGATTCAACGCTATCCACTATGGAGGAATAGTTGGTGAAAATCGACAGATATTGTTGAGAAGGATAAACTAACTTTTCTGATTAGAGAAAAGATAGTCTATATAAATTAAGGACTGGAAACTTTTTTCTTTTACAGAAAAATGAAAAGAAATATGAATCTGAGATTTATGGTTTTGGTTATTAGCTAAGGTAGATTCTAAGCTTTATGAAATTTTAGAAAGAGACATTAAAATATAACTGTACTTATAACTCCTGTAAAGCATATTAAAAGTCCCTGCTTCGTATCTTTTGTCTTTCATTTCTTTAATATCTTTTCATTTTTTTCCTTGCACTTTTTCCTTTCTTTTTGATTTTTTTCTCTTTTCTTCTTTATATTAGTTTTGTATTTATAATCTTTTTTAAAAAAGTTTTAATAAAAAGTAAAAGGGTTTTTTTTTAGATTGCTGATATGACAGACTGCTGATGTGAAAATAAAGAATTGAGATACTGTTTTTTTTTTATTTAGTTGTAAAACTTTACGAGCCTTTAGCTGTAAAACTTTACAAGCTTTTGAATGTTGCAAGTCATCTAATTTATATTTATATCTGCACATTCTGTAAGCAAACCGCTTTCATGAATTACAAGTCTGTGTAATTCATTTTAAAAAAATAGGAGAAGACAAGAGTTACAAACAGGAAAATGACCTGCTTCAGAGGATGAGTTAAACGTATCAAACAAGAATCGCTAACTGGGAGCTTAATTTATACATCACTTAATCTGGGAGATTAAAGTAAACCCAGAAGATTGAAGTATTGTAAATGTAAAAGATTAGGAATTTGTTTTCAGAAGCAGTTGCATTAAGTGAAATGCAAAGTACGGTTCATATTTCATTGCAGTATGGTAAAGCTTAACAATGTTATAAAAATGACCTACATTAAAATGGGCCAACATTTTTTCCCATTGCCATCAGTAACCACCCAATTTACGACTGTCACGAGTTACAACCAAGATGGGCAAGCTCCACTGTGATCGTCAACTCAAGGACTACCTGTATTAAAAAAGCTACTCCCCTTCGTGTTAGCAACATTCATATTCTGGAATCATAAGCCCTGCTTATTGGACCACACAATAAAACTCCTTTTTATGACCCTATAATCCCTTAATCCAGGGTAGAATCAGGGTGACTGGATGGAGTTGAGTGTTTATTTATTTATTTATTTATTTATTTAATTAAATTTATACCCCGCCCTTCTCCTTGCGGACTCACTGGCTGGCTGCCCTTCCTGACGCCTATGTGGAGTTCACAGCAAAAAAAATTTTTCTTTGTGCCCTAAGAGAGAACTATCCGCTGCTACCTAGG